ACACCCAACAGTTTAAACTGTCACAATTTGAAAACGCCACAATAGAAACTGTTTTACTATAAACTCTAGCAAATAAAAGAAATGGAAGATCCGTAAAGGAAAAAACACAGAGGTGTATCGTGTCTTTGAGGAAAAATTCAATGGGATACTGTGTTCCCATTGATCAGTGGGGATACAGCATCCCTTTGAATTTTTTCATGAGTGCTCAAGAAGCAGAAAATAAAATACATAGGTACATTTAGCAGTTACAGATCACTGATCAGAGCTGAGCCTAGACCTCCTAGTAAGGGGGTGGACAGTAGGGACAAGTTGTTTCTTAATAAAAATAGTTTTGATTTTGGCCGTTTTTAACAAATTAATTCAAGGAGGAGGGCTCCACTCAATCTAAATAATATTATTGATTACTCACCTAACATATTATGCAATAATATTAAGTTAGATTCTATTGCAGGTTTTTTAAGGAAATTTATTTGAAAAATATATTTCTTACATTAGCCAATTCATGTATGTTAAATTTTGATTATTTCATTGCAGGTTCTTGGGATCATCAATTTCTTCTAGAGAGTGTTTTCCGGACTCTTCAGGTCTTTACCCTGTATAATTTCAAGGTCCAGGTGTTTGTATGTGATGGGGCATCAGCCAACCTGGCATTGATTAAGTTGCTCTGTGGATACAAACGGGAACAGCTTCCCCTGTGTGATGGAGAGGATCCTTTTGCTGTGACAGTGTCTTTTCAAAACCCATATGAAGATCAACCAAGGGACAAGAGAGTATTTGTTGTTGTTTGCCCATCTCACCAGGTTATCTGAAACTCAAGAAATTGCACTAGTCAATAATATCAATAGCTTATTTAAAACGGCCCCAGATTTCATTAATACATTAATTTTTTACTAGCCTGCTATGGTCTGCTTTGGTACGAAAAAAAAATTCTCAAAATGGGACTAGCAACTCCCACTGATTAATTACCTCAATTACGTTAACTCCAGTTAACCTGTTTAATCTGCTAAAACTCTGTTTTAAGGGATTGAATACTATTAATCCTTCATAATTTCCCTGTTGGACACTTTCTCTAATAATAATCCTTCTTCTACTATAACTGCCAGCTTCTGTTCACACTTTTTTGTCTTCCATTTTACACATCCCATATGTGAGTTAGTTTAGTACATTTTGGCTTCTCGTTTTTCTATGTTTGAACAGCTCAAGAACACTATTGCAGCCCTATATAGCTCAAGGCTTGGTGGTAGCAAATTGTTTACTAAAGATGGTGTAGAATTTGGGTGGCAGCCTATAATAGATCAGTATGAGCGAGATCAGGAAAGAGCTATAAAGAATCTATCTAGAAGGGTGCCTGGTTTAAAGTAAAACTTTGTCCACAGGGAAAAATTGGACTCGTCTGAATGTTCTCCCTGCAAAAATCATACAACTAAGGACACAAATAATCCCATTGACTAATAGTGTTCTAGTGTTAGAGGGTTGATTGCCGGAGGTTATAATTTTAGGTAAGAAGCATAGAGGAAGGTTTTATTGTGGCACATACATAATACCCACAAGGGGAAGGACTTAAAACATGATTATTTGTTACATGTCAAATGAACATAAATATAATATGATAATAATTTTAAGGAAACTTTATTCAGTGATTAATGAGAGCAATATTTGTCACTTGATTTCAGGCCAACATAGACAACATATAACTAATTATGTTATCTTACATGTATTTCAACAGCAACAATACATGATAAGCGCTCTGCAAGAGCATGCAAGAAAAGTACCACAACCAGCAGATGCAGCATTGGTAGAAATGACTGCAAACTATCTGCAAGCATTCCACCTGATTTTTGAGAAGGGGATACTGAGTCATCTCACAATAACACAGCGATACCAACAAGTATCAAAAAGGGATTTTCATTCCTTACGGATTGGTCATTAAGCCATCAAAGAACAGGTAAGTGTATTGCTTTATGATCCCAATGTTTTTTACTCAGTATCTTGACATTCAGTCTGCAGTTTGAAGTGCTGACAATGCGAACTCTCTTGTTTTATTACACTCATCATTCATGACTGGATCATTACAAATTTTGTACTTTATGAAAACCGAACTTGATAAGACTGTAAGTTGTGAATAATTACCTTAATGCAGTGTCTATTGAGAATGATTTAGAATTTAACTTATACATACAGAGTGTATGTAAAAGCCAAAAAAATTTGATCCCCCTACCCAACAATCATGGGCTTATCCTTAAGCTTGCAAGACTTACGGTATATTAGTCAAGTTCCCACATTGTTTGCGGTAACAAATAAACATGAGAAATTATTTTCCATATTTTGCTCCGATGAACCTGACTCCGTTATTTTCAAAGAGAAGAAAACTCTCTGGCTGCTCAATTCCCTGCCCTCTTATCACATCTTAATTAGTGACAGCTCTGGAAATAAACGGCCTTCCTCCTTAACTTAACTCTGACTGCATGTAATATTATTATTAATACTGAACTACATGATTGTCTATCTTGTAACAACAGTTAACCAGAGATTCACAGGCTGGCATTGATAGTGTTCGCTTCTTTAAATGTCTCATTTTAATAACTACATAATACATTTCTTTACTTAAGTTAATCAGAACATCAGCAACAAACAAAGACAGAAAAAGTTTTTGGCATGGCAGGTATAAGTTATCTTATCTCGCATAAATTATGTATTTAGGGTTAAAAATGATAAAATAATTGAACCACAAAAAAATGCATGCAAATCAATTTTAGGCAAAATTACCCCCAAATTTGAAGTAAAGTAGCATTCTCAGTTGAACTTGTAATACTCAGCACAACAACAGTGAGTTGTGCATAGCTCATGTACATAACATGTTTCAGAATTTATAGTGAGAAGGTTTTTTAGGTTAAGGTAACTGTTAAGATAATGCCAGGCCCGTAGCCAGGATTTTTTATGAGGTGGGAGGTTATGGGTGGGGGGAATGGTTGCTTGAGACTGCATTTCGAGCAATTTGAAGGGGCTAATTCAACTTGTTTTAAATTATTCGTTGGTCAACAAAAAAGTGGATCTCCAGAGCCTGGGAGAGGGGCAAGCCCACCCATTGCACCCCCTCCCTATGGGCCTGATTGCAGACAAAATTTATTATCATGCATAATAATTGATTAAGTTGTTACGTTTCTTTATATTGCAGACCCGGGATTTAATGAGAATTATGGTGTATGGTTTCACACAATTTTGCACCTGGTTTGTGGAAAGACATCCTGGGTATTTTATAGCCCCTCTGAGGATCAATGGCAGTGGCATTGAGTCCATGTTCAGTTTATTCAAGTTCTGTGCCGCAGGCAACCTCTCTGCAAACAACTACGGCTCAATTAGAGGACGGGTCATCACTGGTAAAGAAGTAGTATTAAACAGTAACTCTGAGAGGGGATACCGTGATGACAGAATACTTGTTTCTGGCAATCTGCAGCAGAGTGAGACATCTGCTGGATCAAGAGTGGCATATTCTGTGCGAGTTTTGTTTGACCCATTTGGTTTGGACAGGGTTAAAGAATTTCATTTCTTTTACAACCTCTGCCAGTCTTCAATTGGTGGATGACAAGGCAGCAACGCCTGCACACTGATTGCTCTACTTGTGGGTTATCGTTTTGTCACATCAAGCTTACCACAATTAACATAGCCTGTTCCAAGCGTTCAGATAGTGGAGAGCAGTTCGAAGTAAAGAAAGCGATAAAAAGTAGGAGGGGGATTTTTTTCGCGCTCCTTTTTACTTCGCACCGCTCCCCACTATCTGAACGCCTGGAACAGGCTACAATTAACAAGAAGTACCTTACCGAGTTTGAAATTTGAAGCTGTCACTTCTGGAACGTTTCAGGGTAATGCAATCCATGATGTGCTCTTTGATGGACAACCAATAAACCTGGATGTAGAAGATGCAGTTGAGTGCTGTGGAGATGATCTTTATATCTCATATCTCAGAATCCATTGGATATGACTTGCGGTTGGGAGACTTATCACCCTCGGTGGTCACTTTGGAAGACAGTGCTTCTCTTAGGAAGAATCAGACAGCTGTTCTGATTAACAACGACATGACTGTTGCAGTGCTTCTCTGGGAAACAGGAGAATGCGTTATTATTGACTCTCACGCACATGGCAATTATGGTGCTGTAATCAGTTGTGTCCCACCTGATCAGATAAACACAATAGTTTCCTGGCTGGCCAAAATGGTCTTAAAATACTGTAACAGAGTGTTGGGACTTTTGTCTCTTATGACTGCACATAAGGCCAAGGCAAATGAATTGGTTATCTTTGACACTGTCGAAAAAAACTTGTGGCATGTTCTTTTTACATGTGATAGATAAAAGATGTATGATTTTCATGAACGTTGCGCCTGTGGCTGCGCACAGATTAAACTTTTCANATGGTGCTGTAATCAGTTGTGTCCCACCTGATCAGATAAACACAATAGTTTCCTGGCTGGCCAAAATGGTCTTAAAATACTGTAACAGAGTGTTGGGACTTTTGTCTCTTATGACTGCACATAAGGCCAAGGCAAATGAATTGGTTATCTTTGACACTGTTGAAAAAAACTTGTGGCATGTTCTTTTTACATGTGATAGATAAAAGATGTATGATTTTCATGAACGTTGCGCCTGTGGCTGCGCACAGATTAAATATTTCAGCTATGAGAAGGGTAAAGAAAAAAGGGGAAATCCTTAAATAATTTTGGGGGTTGGAAAGGCAGGGGGCTTTAAAATGATGGAGGAATCGGACGATGGTGGGGATAATGCAATGTGTATTTTTAAAAGATAAACGTTAGAGTAGAGACCTTCCTGGTCCTGCATCTCTATAAACAAAACTCATCTCATACACTTATTAAGAAAGTATTACATATATGCACACTATAAATCAGCTAACTGAAGAAAAAGTACGTAAAAAGCACAACAATACAATTCATGTGTTGTATATGGGAATTGATTTCGTGGCATATACTCAGTGTGTCATAAGTCTAATCTATTTTTCCTTTAAACAACACAAGAAGTGTTTTACACTTCTCTCATAATAAGCTTATTATAAAACTTGCACACACTCAAGTCCTGATCACATTCATCGTTTATTGCTAAATCAAGGTACTTTTATACATATTGGTATCTAAATCATACGTGGGAAAATATAGTAGGGAATGCATGTGGTTTCCTTTCTAGTAAACACCCTAATTCGATCGAAAGCTTAAAACACTATTACACCTACATTACTTACGCAAATCCTGAGCGGCTATGTTTGAATAATGATCCCATCCTACACAAAAATCCTACCAGTTAAAATGGTGTAGCTTTTACGCTATTCCGATCGGAAAACACATCCAACTATTTGCTTCACACAATGCACATTTTTGCTTGCTTGCTTACACAATAAGGATCATTTTCTGTTTCCTATCAAGCTAGTAATATTGACGTATTGTTCACTCAAGATTAACAAGTCACGATTCATTGTACACATGTATTGGGATTCTGTGAAGAACATTAAAAGGGAATGTTACTGGTAATATTTAGAGTGGTTTTCGTTTGAGTGTCGTAAAACCAAAACCAAAGTAATTACTCTGGCCAATCACATAGGACACAGACAATACATTGAACCAATCAAAACTCGAAGTAATTACATGTGGCTGACGCAAAGCGCGGGAAAATGCATGCGAGCGCGTCACAATTGGCTTTGGTTTTACTTCTGATTNGAGTGGTTTTCGTTTGAGTGTCGTAAAACCAAAACCAAAGTAATTACTCTGGCCAATCACATAGGACACAGACAATACATTGAACCAATCAAAACTCGAAGTAATTACATGTGGCTGACGCAAAGCGCGGGAAAATGCATGCGAGCGCGTCACAATTGGCGTTGGTTTTACTTCTGATTGGACGAAAAGGTGGCGCGAATCTTTTAAGCCAATCGCATCGTGTAGAAAGTGCAAAACCAATTACTTTTCGACACTCAAATGAAAACCGCTCTAATGTATCTGTATTAAAGATTGATTTCACTACAAAAGTCTTTTTTCCTTGTTACGAACGTGCTCCAAAAGGATACTATGTTCAACTGAGTTGTTTCAGTCTCACATAAGGTTCTATGTCACGCAATGGTCGGCGACAAGGTTTTATGGTAGCCTGAGTGTGTACAGCCGCCCCCTCCCCTCAGAAAAAATCTCGCCCTGTAGTCGCCTTTCGGCGATTCTTGTTTTACGTCGTCTGTGTCCGGTACACGAAGTAAAAGCGAAAAAATCGAAGTCATTTCAAATCAAGCTAGAGAAGGCTTTTTATACGGGGCTTATAACGGTTCTGGTCGTCGTTTACTGAAGAATGAACCTATGAAACTATGGCCTTTACACTAGGAGCCACCCTCGGCTCTTCGTTGCCAGTCTTTTCGTCACCATGACAGAGATAGAAAAGACCCAACTCTTAAACATGGCTTACGCTCTTCATATAATCTTGGGTGACCTCTCAATGTCATGTGATGTTCGGCTCGGTGTTGGTTCTCTCCCCGCGAAGGGGCCGCTACTACTCGGGAAGACTCTCGCTTTTTAATTCTCCACATAAAACACCTGTAAGCATTTCTCTGACAGTCATTTTATTCAAGATCCTGGCCGGGCTACAACGATTGGCAGGGACCAGCATATTTTCTTCGCTATCCAGCGCCCGCTCGAAGTGGCTTCTTATAAACACAACTTTCTTTTATGTTTACCTATTAATATAGTGTAGATTGATTTGAAAGCAAATGAGAATTTGACAACTTGTGGCCTCCGAACTTGTTTTAAATATACTTGGTAGCAGCATTTAGGTACAGAATTTGTGGCAAACTACATCATTTTTTTCATATTTTGTTTTACCAGTGTCTGTTATTTTCTTTTTTAACAGTAAACGTAACCAACCTGCCTCCTTCGGAAGGAAATAACAGCTATAAATGCTTTATAAATGGGAAGGAACGACCAACTTCTACATTACCAAATTTGGTGGCAAATTGGCCTGTAGGACTCCAGCAAGTGATCCGCTACCAAAGATCAAAAGTAACACAGGTATAGGCGCTTCTGACCGGGGGAGGGGTACTACAACCCGAGGACCAACCCCCTACCCTTTCATATTCCATGACAAAAAAGTTACGCCTTTCATATACCTTATAATGTCAAATGGTACTCCTTTCACATTACCTAGTTTAGAATTATGCATCCCTTTTAACTGCTGTAAATGCACTGTTTTAAACACAACCAGAACTTTTTTTCGACTCAGTTTTTCGCAGCCGTAAACTGCATCTGTTAGCCCTTTTGGGCCTTTTCCAGACCGAAATGACAGATTCCCCTACCTTCTTTATGCTTCAACTAAGTTGAATCCCTACCTTTTATATACCTGAAGCCTGAAAAAGTTGCCCCCTTTGGGCGGAGCCTCCCCGGTACAGGCCATTACTGGGAGTTTCCCCCTTGACTTCTGATAAGTAACCTGCAATCATATCTGCCTTGTACGGGAAGGGTTTAAGGGTTCCTTCCCCCTTGCCCCAATAAAAAGGAACTTAAAATAAATCATACCACGGAACATTTTCAGTAATTAACCAACGTATAAGTGTTGCAGAAATGAAAGTGTGTTACATACTAATGCTCCTTGTGCAACAGTGAGGAAAGGTTGGGATTATTACCATAAACAGTGTACCCCCTACGGAAAGTCCCTGGATTTGCCATTGTGCCCAGCTTATTGAGTAATCGATCTCCCAATTTCTCACTGTAATCACTGGATATCCACTCATATTCCACTTTTCCCAATTCCCTCTTGCCCTTACTGGGAGCATTGACAAGCAGTGTAATATGAGGTTTTTGTGATCGATAATTGAATACGGGACTCTTATTATTGGTCAAATGCTGCATCAGCCGTGTTTTGAGTTCAGTTGTAGTGCTGCCAATATACACTTTGTCACATTTCTCAAATTCCATCTTATAGTTCTTCCTGTTATTGTAGTCGCTATTGAAATATGAATTTACAATTTCCATATTTGGTTGTTTTCTAATTTCATAAATTTTGTTCAATGCGCTGTTTTTCAAGTGGATGAATTCTAGTTTAGTAGTGCGGGACAGTGCTGTGTAAAGTTGTTTCTTATCCATCCGATTCACCATTATTAATATTATAAGGTTCGTTAATATCAGCGCCTTGATACTTGTATTAAACTAAGATAGTACGCGCGCTCTGATTGGCTGAGAGGAGTGTTTGCATGAGGGAATGTAAACATCGTTGTGGCGTCAAGATGTTTCGCTTTTCGCGCGCTAATCACGCAAGCACGAATTTGAAACAAGTTTTCAAGTTCAAAACTCGACAAGTTTACTTTATTTGCCCATTCCTTCGTCGGCTGAAACTTGGAAAATCGTTACAAAGAAAGTGTGTCAATTTTTTTTCGCTTAAGCTGACATTTTAAGCGAGAAAAGCCCGTATTTTGGAAAGCATCTTTTTGCAAAACAAGAACTGATTACGCGTGCAAGACTTCGTGCACAAGACTTTGCGACTGGTAAGAATTTCTCTTTTAATCAGTGCCATACAAAGTGTTTTGCGTTTTTTCTCGAGAAATTTATTTTAT